TATGAACTATCGAAGGCAAAGGTGTATAAGTTCAAGAAGCCTTGATAAAAGATTATCAAAGCACTAAGTATTAGAAACATGAACTTAAGAAATTCAATAAGTATTGTTTTTATGAAAGTTAAGATGTTTATGAATACATGTCGAAGCTAGTGGGAGCATAAGTGTTATGTTTTATAATAATCATCATGATAGTGGGAGCATAAATGTTATGATTGTATGATTATTAAGGCACGTATTGCATAGTTGGCAATATTAATTATAAAAAACAAGAGTCATACTTTGCAAAGTTGTAAGAGTTGAAAGGTTGTTTTGCTATAATTAAGGGAGAGAATATTATGCTTCATTTCAAATCTAAAGGATTAGGTTGAGAAATGTTAATAAACTTAGTCAAGGGTACATAGTGTGTTCTTAAAATTTCGATTATGATTACGGCATTCCTCTTCACAATTCGAATTTTGAGAACATAGCAAATAAAACATTATGCGTCGTGTCCCATACGCTTCGGGTATAGGATCGATTGCAAATGCTTTAATGTTTGACCATTCTAAAATTTTCCAAATGTCTAGCGCATTTAGAGGGAAAAGGGACTAGAATCGGTTTTGACTAAAATAATTAAACAACTATCAAAGAACAATCCAAAGTTCGACGAGGATTGGTTGCTTGTGAGTAGTTGGAAGCATGGTATTAATGGACCATATTGACATTATGATGAATAGAAAAGATTCTATTAAGAAATGAGTTGTCATATGGAAAGTATGGAAATGTATCTATATTGGGAAGTAAATATTGAAAATCTATGACTAGATTAGAAACTTTTATGCAAAAGGATGTTCAAAGGAATGTACTTTGAGTGAGAGACATCATATCTAAGGAATTGTCTTGTAACAATCTACGTTAGAGGACTTTGTAATATCATTGGCAATAGTCTTTGAGACTTTGGTGCAGTGACATTACAAAAGGATCGTTGCATAAAGTGTTAGAATCTAGTATATTCTATAAGTAACAAGAATTTGATATTCTTACACTTAAGAAAATGGATTTGGAGTTGTAAAATGAGAATGATTGGAAATGTGTTCAATTTGTCTATTTCACAAAGTAAAAACCATAGGTAAACATTGTGTGCATGCTAGGAGCATGGGACAAGTGTAATAATTCAAGTATAAAGTTGATTACCCGAAACGACAAATAATGAGTAATCGATATGGTGATAAATAAAACGTGTTTTGTTTATACTCAAAGGTTTGAGGCCATATGGGATTAGTATTATTCTTGTGTTTCACCTTGCATGTTTTGACTTCCAGAATAATTGAGTTTATTAAGAATAATCGAATTATTCGAACGGGCCACAGTCGTTCATATGTTGGAAGTAGATATGAATGAAGATTGTCGTGAATTGGTGTGTGGATTGTCTAAAAGAGTATTAGACATAAGCAAATGTTTGCTGCAACGTTCATGAGTGCTTATGAATATGATTTGAGCATTGGATTAAACCCACGCTCACTTGGATCACTATCTCGAGTGATTAGTGAGACGATAACATCTTATATTCTTGAAACCGAGATGTGTGAGTTGTATCTTGCTAATCGGTTGCACATTGATAATATGTAAACGCACTAGTAACTTGGTGTTATAAAACATATTGTTGTGTGTGATTTGGTTAGTGAGTGCAAGCAAGCATTGTATCAAAGTTTATCCGTTCCTTTTATCCAAGGTAGGATAAAAGCGATATCTTTGGGCCCCTCGATGGTTTAGTGATGACAAACGTAAATGCTCGGACGGGCTAGGGCTAATTTGATTTGTTCAATTAGTCTGTCGTCATAAATCAGAAATCGAGAAGTAGTACAAAGAGAATGATTAGAAATCATATCTCAGACGATATCAAGAATGGAGGAATATATGATCCCTTATCTAAGGACATGCGTATCTGATGTGATCAGAGTTGACAACGGCTTTGGAAAGATACGATTGCAGATCAGGATCTAAAGTCATACGCATAATATTTATTAGACTTATCCAAGTGGGAGACTGTTGGATTAGTGTCTAAGTCCATAACTATTTTGGTATGTACTTGACCCAATGGTGCATGGTCCTTTTGGGTTGCCTTCACCAAAGCAACTTGATAGGATGAATTATGGAGAGAAAGGATTAAATGTGATTTATTAATATATTATGGGAATAATATATTAAAGGAGAAATCATATTGTTTAATTAATATTAGTCAATAATTAATTGGTAATTAGTTTTGTGACTAAAAGAGATTAATTAAACTTAAGGGACTGGAATTGTAATTATAAGATAATTGCAATTTGGGCCATGGATTGCCTTATATTAAAGGATGGACGAATTCTAATGGGAAACCCATAAGGAAATCGTCCATGGGCTTAATTAAAGGAGTCTATGGGTTGCTTAGGGCTTAAGCATCCAAATTAGGGTTTCCTTGTTAGATAACCCTAATAGCCCAACTATATAAAGACCCCTTGAGGCTCAAAAACGTGGCTAAGCTTCTTGTTAGGGTTTCTACACGTTTTTGGTGGCTTCCAACCTCTCTCCTCTTCATCATCTTGCTTATGGTGTTTGTGAACCATTAGAGGAGTGACACTTGTGACTCTAAGTCTTCCAAAGTCAATTCAAGGTAGGATTGAGATTGTTATTGCTACATAACAATCAAGGTAACATTATAAACTCATTCTTATGTTAATATGATTAGTTGCATGCTAGAATTAGGGTTTATAGTCTTGGATTCAAAGCATGTACAATAGAGAAACCTAGATCCAAGCATTAGGGTTTGTATGAGCACATAGGATGTCTTATGACCAAAACCCATCAGTTGCTTCATCAATCTCCCTAATCTCTTTATCAAGGACATATTCCTTGTCCTCGTAACGAGTGACCACCTCATGTTCCGAATCCAATCATTGAAATTCAAACCGTCAAAGATGACCCTCCAACACAAGTTCATGAGGGAGAAAGAGCCACAAGGTTTTGAGCCAGAAGTGGTGTTGGAAGACATATGAAAAAGAAAGACAAAGTTTAGATTAGATAAGAATCCTTAATATAACACCTAAATGAAATATTAAGGCTAGGACCCAACACAATATTTTACAATTCAAAAGAGGGATGCCATCATCCAATTGCAAAAAATATTTGAAAGTAGGTAAATGACGATTAACCAATTTCCACCAGGAAAAACGAAACTGAATATTAAGTTTTAAATGAATTGAAATTCCTAGATTCTTTTGAGATTCATTGAACTTTTCAATGACATGTTTAAATCTCGATTATGCCCTTCAAGTTTGTGATTGGGATACCGGGGATCAAAAACAAGGTGTGAATAACTATGCAAATATACTTGGTACTCTTGATGTCATTTATCATCTAATCAAAGTGTCGGTTAACCACACATGATCCATTGATCTATGATAAACATCAAACTAACCTTTGCCAACGATAAACCTTCCACTAACAACTTAGCAAGGTGCAAAGTGCAATTTCATGGAATAGCATCATTTTCACATTTTTCGAAAAGTAACTAAGATTGGGAATTTTATAAAAAAAAACATTTAGTTACTTTATAATTATCATTATACTTTTAATGAGAATTAATATCCTATCCTAACCGTTCGGCTAACAACTCTCCACTAGTTAGTAGATACCCAATGATGGTCATTTTATAGGTTGCTTCCTTAAACACCCCTTATAGACAAACTTCATGAATGAGGCCTACTAACGGTAAGACTGACTTGTCTTATACATATATATATATATATATATATATATATATATATATATATATATATATATATATACACACACACACACACACACATATATATATATATATATATATATATATATATATATATATATATATAAGTATTAACTTTTAATACTTGAGGACAAATTATGAAACTATTCAAAAACATTTAGATCAAGTTTAACTAATTAAAAGTATCATATAATTTATCATTGACCTAATTTAACTCATAAGGCAAGATAATATCAAATAAAAAATTTACAAACAGTTAACTTATCATATAAACTAACAATAATCTTGAAATTTTGACAATTATCTTTCAATTGGATGAGGATAATCACTACCATATCAGAAAAAAAAGATTTTATTATACAAAACAGTTTGTGGTAATGATCCTAATTCAATTCTAGCCAAAAAGCTCGAAAATCTGCAAGTAGAAGATCCTACTCGTCGAGTGCATGGACTGAACTCGCCGAATTGCCAGTTTGTGAGTGAACTCGTCGAGTCAGATCATTTGACTCATCGAGTCCATCAGTCAGAGGCCAGAAATGTGATTTTTTTAACTTTGAAAATCAACCAATACATCAATATAACATAAAACTACCCTAGGCTCTGATACCACTGATGGGTTTTGAGCACTATAACATCCCTATGGTGCATATACAATCCTAATGCTTTGGATCTAAGTTTTCTCTAGTTATAAATGCAAATTTCATTTTTCCAAAGCATGAAGCCTATCTAGCATACAACTTCATATATGAATCATAAAAACTAGTTAGATAATTACCTCTTTATGTAGCTTGTATTACTTGGCCTTTAAGAGCTTAGCACCTCAAGTGTGACGCCTCAAATGCTTCACAAAACACCACCAACAATTAGAGGACTTGAGAGAGAGGTTAGGAGCACCCTAAAATCGACTATACTCTTGCTATATTACTTGTGCATCCGATTTTGGGGTCTAAGGGGTTACATATTTAGTGTTAGCATTCCAAGAGTAATATGTAACCCTAATTCTTACACTTAGACTTATGATCCATAAATCATACCGACTAACTCTTCATGGACTCTCACATAAACTTAGCCCATCATGGATCAATTGCCCATACCATATGTATCACTAATTTACATAATCAGTCCCCGTTAATTTAATTAGTCTCTTTTGATCACTAAATTAATTCCAAATTAATTCTTGATCAATACTAATTAAATAATATGATTTCTCAATTAATATATTAT